AGCAGTCAATTCTTCGACAAAAATTCCGCCAGAAATGATGAAATATTTTGTACGATTTACGTTCGTTCGAAGGTGTAGTGATTATTATTCGATACGGACTGAAATTACCTGTAACGTAAAAGTTTTATCTTTGATAGCAGAAGCATTGTTTCTAGGTAGAAACGCTAGAAGATTTTGACCCGATAACCTGAACAAAGAAAATAGTACTGTTTCTTATATTCAGGATAAGCTAGCGTTGCATTTGAAGCGCAGCTACAACATAAACAAACGAAAACACAGAGTCGTGAAAAAACCGTATTACCGAAGGTCGGTAAAGCCGCTAAATCAGTATTAACGTTCTAAATATTTTATTGTAATCGCTTAATTCTTAAGCTGTAATATTCGTCCGACCTAAACATCAAAAAAAGACATCAAACGTTCCAGAATTAAAAGAGCCACTAAAATCAATGAGAGTCACAGTATCTCATCAAAATCGATCTCAGTTCGCAATCGTTCGCAATCGAGATCAACAACGTCCCTCGATCAGAAACACTTAACAATAAATATCGTGCCAAATCGTCGTTGTAACGGAAACACTTGCATCGCCATCTCGAGCGAACAGACCCCCGAATCGATGCTTAAACGCAATTCCGAGAGGACACTCGTCGCTCGAGACAACCGAATCCCCTCAATACCGCTTCTCTTCCAAAAGTCTTCAACGCGCGCTGGACACTTTCCAACAGTGAGAAAATGGGGTGCCTCGTAGCCGAAAAATATGGCGAACGTGTAGTATGCAATAATTCCCTGTACAAAGAGTCCGGATTTTATATATGTGTTGCCCCTGGAGTGCGTGAGGAAACCGTTATACCCCGTCGATCCTCCTGATCCTTCCTCACCAATGATCCTCGACGGATTCCGCGACGACCCCACTTTTCGGGCTCGCGTTTCAGTTTAGAAGCGTAAGGGAAGTCGACATTTGGTGCGATTGCTGCCGAGGCTCGATGGTCGCCGATCGAAGATCAAAATTGACAATCAAAATAAAAAAAGATTCATGCCGCGAGAACATTGGCTGACTTAAATGAAACTGAAAAAGAGGGAGAATGTTTGACCCCGTTACATTCGAACGCGCGTTCTCGATATTATCGTTGATCGTCGGCGACGCGGGCTCTCATAGGCATTCCCGCGCGAGGACGGTGCTTAATCGAAAACATTATGAAGATTAAGGGTGCGTTTATACTATCCGTTTAGACACGTGAGGTTTCAGTTCAGACGAAAATCGAGTTTGTACCACAGGACACGGAACGTCTTTATCACTAAAACTAACGAGTAATTACATTGACATTTTGAAATTCCTCTATGGAAACTCCGACAATGCATCTATTGAAAGTTTAATCGATTTACAATTCACTTTGTGCATTGTTAAACTGATTTCTTCAATAATTCCGCAGAGTAACATCTGGTATCTTTTTAATAATTACAAGAAGGAGGAATCAGGATTGGGTCATTTTGACCCGTCTGGTAGTTTTAGTGTGAAAGTAATTTGATTCTTTTTGTTCAAGAAGTAGAACCTTTACTTTCCAGCTTCCATTCACTGAGGTAGGTTTTTCCCCAAACGTAATCTGAGAGTTGAGACATATGACAGTTGCCATTCAGGCACGTTCCGCTAAGTTCATCCGTTGTCCGTTGGATGTTGGAAGCACAACGTATTTGAACGGATAATATAAATCGACCTTAAAGCACCGCCGCTCGCGTTCCGCTGCGCGCTAGTTACTATTCATGATAATAAATCGGTATGTATTACGCAGTAAACAGAATAACCGTGGCTGAAGCTCGAAATCAAAATGCACAGACCTAAAGGATCTGCGTCGACCGCCGGGCAAGGTGCATTTCTACGAGAACGTGACCCGCGGCGGAGACCTGTCCGTAAATAATAATTTTATGTACCTTTAAGTGATATTGTAAGCGGCAGTATTATGTAACGGAAGTTACTGTAGGCAGGCAACAAGCACCCGATTTAAATCGCTAATCAAGAACTGAGCGTTGAAATAGATCTTGAACACCGGTGCCGAGCGAATGGAAAACGCGATGATCAAAAGTTTGTTTGCCTCCCGTTCGATACGCGAAATTGCGGATAAGTCATCGTTGATCGTCTATTACTTTTTGAGTATGTGTATGCGAAGATTGAACGGATTGTTTGCTACCGACACTTTGATAGCGAAAGAAAGGATAATCGAAGATTAAGCTCACTGATTAACTCGTTCAATAGAGTGGTAAATATAGGTAGATTAGGGATTAGAAGAAGTATTTTAAGTTACAGATTTTATTTTCGATATTTTTAGGGAATCTAACACTTGGACGTACGTTTATTGCCAGCATAGGCAGTTTGTAAAATTGTTTTAGATTATTCGTATATCGTTAACGAATATCTAGAAACAAAACGCCAGTCAAACGTGATAGGAAATAACAGATTGCGTTATGAAATCAGTGAAATCTATACTGCATGGATAATAAGCGTAACATTAAAGAAGTTTAGATACATGTTTAGATATATTTCTATATTGAAAGAGTTAAGAAGTATTTGAAACACTGGACAGTTTGCAAACAATTCGCTGTATGTTACTTTACACTAAGCTTATTCACGTGAAAGCTTTCCATCTGTATTTCAGCATTGAAGAGAAGAAACTTAACCCTTGGGTACGCTAACTTACATTGCTGACAAGAACCTTTTTTAAAATCAAAGAATAGTTTCAGAAACTCCATTGTACGTATAACAACGCTCATGAGAAAATAAGAAATATATGATACGAATATTTTATATAGATGTTACGTACCCCAGAGTTATATTTTCTGACCGTATAGATCATTCTTTGTCTACCGTCACAAGAATTCGTCGAAGTATCTCTTCTTCGGAATTAAACTCTATGTATCATCGATATTAAAGTCCAATATTCCCTACTTACATGGACGAATGATTCTCAATTCGTTCTAAAGATGTTCATAGGACACAGTCGAAGCAAAAATATATAAATAAGCTTGATCGATCGATTGAGAATTATTGTCTCAAAAATGAAACCATTTTTCTTCTTCATTAAATATTCGTTACGAACTTCGAGAATTAATTCTTCAATGTTTTTATCCGAACTAAGCGAATATTGGAGGATTAACTACGAAGCTTCGTGTACTCCTAATCAAACGTATTGAAGCAACTGAAAAATCAAAAGCAAATGAAAATAAGTCGCGAGTGAAAAGATGAGAGAAAATGAAAAGAAACGAAAGCGAAGATGATCTGACATATCAAAAGATAGAAAAATGGATTTTTTTTTACGAGCAACTACATAGCAATACCTTTCTGCTCAATACGGATAATAAGGAAAGAGGAACCTATAACCATGTTTTGGGAACGCTTTAACCCAATGGACTTAGGGAAGTCAACGCATAAAGATCGCGAGTAAGCGAATCAAAAAATTTCTTTCCTCTCGATAAGAGAAGGACAAAATGAAATGTCGACCCGTTAAAAAAGGGCTAAAACTTCCGTATCGCGTATAGACACGTGTAAAAATCTTTCATACCGACGAAACAGAAAATTTCCAGAACAGCTTCGATTCTTCCATAGTGTTTTTAAATCGTCATCCGCGTTCCGCGAATCATTAAACGCAACTTTCCGCGATGGTTTTAACGTACTTAATCGTATAGGAGAAAAAAGGTTGAGAAGCTGGCTAGGTTTACTCCTGTAATCGTGACTCCATTCAAAACTCGCATGTCAAAAGATCAACGTCCACCATTTTGTACCATATAAAGTCAGGTTTCCGCGCCAATCAAAAGAATCGGAATCGATGGTTAGTCGTGGTTAAAGATAAAAGAAAATTCCAAAAAAAAAGAGAAAAACTCAAGTATCAAAGGAAATGTGAAACGCAGATCGGTATCCTGCGTACAGATACGAATATACGAATGAATGTACGCGACGAACGTTTTGCATGTCCCACCAGCGGTGAATTCGATGCCGATGATGGAAGAGAGAGCAAGGAAAATGTGTCCGGTGTCTTTTTTTTGGAAACAGGCGATGATTCATTTCCAACTAACGAGGTGATCGTCGACGAGTCGGCTAGGCTCGCGGGAAGATCGTGGCGAACAAAGGGATAAATCCCGTCTGCTCCGCGCCGGTCGAATCGACGCGGGAGGAAATGGTTCGTTTAGAGCGAGGATACGTACAACAGTACAACATAGACACACAAAAAAACAACAAACGTTTGTAAGATATCGACTAAGTCTGGAGAGGTTTCACTTTAAATTAAAATAGTATGATGAAGACAATGTAAATGTATGAGAGA